GGCGTAGGTAATTAAACAACAAACACAACTGCCCTGGCTGACTAACCTAAAACTTTTGGGTAATTTATAGGCTAGTCCAAGTATTTGTACCTACCTACTTATTATCCTGCTGTTTTGATTAGTTTCATAATGAGATTTGCTTACCTCTGAAGTTCCCAAAAACGAATTTCAGCTCTTGTGTAGTTTAAATGATTACTAAGATAATCAAATACCATGAAGGTATCAACTTTAGGGGTAGATTATCGGATTCCGCTTGCTCAAAACCGATATCTACTAACCTTATTTCTACCACTCATTTGTTATATTATAATAACAACCTTCTAATATTAAACAAATCAAATCACCGATTGGGTATAAACCGGTGACGTTACGCTCCGTGTTTCTTTTTTTTTGAAGTGAAACTTCTTTATCGAGGTTGGAAAAAAATTTAGTGTAACATTTTTTCGTTACGCGTCACATTTTTCGGTTACGCGCCATGTTGCTTTTTGAAGTCAAACTTCTTTATCGGCGTTGGAATGAAACTTCTTTATCGACGTATGGGAGAAATTTTGTAGCAAATCGTCACGTTTTTCAATGATAGTAATAATTCTATTACAATTAATGAAATTCTATAATAATCTTCGTAGTAATAAGGTAAAATGAAATATTTGTATTCATGTCTATGATAATAAAAGCCTTTTGTTAAACTTTATCTAATTTAACGAATTTCTGTAAAGTTTTTTTTTTTTTTTTTTTATGTAATAGGAGGCAAACGGGCAGGAGGCTCACCTGATGTTAAGTGACACCGCCGCCCATGGACACTCACAATGCCAGAAGGCTCGCAAGTGCGTTGCCGGCCTTTCAAAAATTGGTACGCTCTTTTCTTGAAGGACCCTAAGTCGAATTGGTTCGGAAATACTTCTGTGGGCAGCTGGTTCCACATAGTGGTGGTGCGCGGCAAAAACTGCCTTAGAAAACGCTCTGTTGTGGAACGACGGACGTCGAGGTGATACGGATGGTATTTTGTATTTTGCCTTGACGTCCGTTGATGAAACTCAGCTGCAGGTATTAGACCGAACAACTCCTCTGAACACTCTCCATGGTAAATGCGGTAGAAGATGCAGAGAGATCCCACATCTCTACGCAACGCCAAGGGATCAAGCCGCACGGAAAGTGACTGGTCGTCGACGATTCGAACCGCTCTTCGTTGAATACGGTCAAGTGGAAGGAGCTGGTACTGGGGAGCTCCCGCCCAGAGGTGAGAGCAGTACTCCGGTGGCCCGGAGTGAAGTACCGTCTCGCCTTGCTGAGCACACCAAGCTTTTTGGAGGCTAATTTAGCCTTTCCTTCCAGATGACCGCGAAACTGAACGTTATTCGATATGTCAACGCCCAGTATTCCGATGCTAGCTGAGGCTTTAAGGAGAGTGTCTTCAAAGAGGGGAGTAGCGACAAAGGGACTTTTTTAGCGGAAAACGCGCAAACTTGTGTCTTCTTGGGGTTAAATTGGACTAGATTTAGTCTACCCCAGTCCGAGACTCCACGAAGAAGAGTTTCGACTTCAGACACAAGTTTGTTCCGGTACTCATCGACAACAGCCCGAGAAATACCTGCCCGGCCAGTGTAAAAAGTATCCCCAGTGCTGTCGTCCGCATAGCAATGAATGTTGCTAAGCTGCAACATATCATTGATATGCAGAATAAACAGGGTCGGGGATAGGACACAGCCTTGTGGGACACCAGCATTCACAGGTTTCAGGTCGGAGCATGCTCCGTCGATGACGACTTTGATGCTCCGATCAGCGAGAAAGCTGGAAATCCAGTTGCATAATTTCTCAGGAGCCCATAGGCTGGAAGCTTCGAGAGCAGTGCTCTGTGCCACACCCGATCGAAGGCTTTCGCTATGTCCAAACTTACCGCCAGCGCCTCCCCTTGGACTCAATTGCCTCTGCCCACCTATGTGTAAGGTATACAAGGAGGTCACCAGCTGAGCGACCACGACGAAAGCCGTACTGAGAATCGCTAATCAGCTGGTGGCCCTCTAGATACCTCAGGAGCTGGCTGTTAATAATGGTTTCCATTATTTTGGAGAACAAGGAGGTTATAGCTATTGGGCGATAGTTGGACGGATCAGAGCGATCGCCTTTTTTAGGGATCGGATGTATCGAAGCGATCTTCCAGCACTTCGGAACAGTGCCGAGCGTGTAAAGGTACCGGAAAAGGCGCGTTAGAACCGGAGCCAACTCAGGAGCACAAGTACGCAGCACAATTGGAGGGATGCCATCGGGCCCGCTCGACTTATGGATGTCCAAGGAAGACAAAGCTTTACGGATAGCACGTTGCCGGAATATAACTTCGGGCATCGTAGTATCACACCGCAATAATGTCGGTGGTTCATTACCTTGATCATCCAAAGTGGAGTTCGACGCAAAGAGACAGCCTAGAAGATCGGCCTTCTCTTTCGCGGTATGGGCCAGTGAGTCATCCTCCCTATGCAGTGGTGGAATTGAGGGCTGACAGAAATTCCCTTGGACAGCTTTGGCAAGAGACCAGAAGGCTCGAGTTCCCGAAGGGAGGTGGGCCAATTTTTCACCAAATCTGGCAATGTGCTCTGACTTTGCTTTAGTGATTTCTCGCTTGAAGGACCTGGAGGCTGAATTGTATGCTTTTTTACGTTCGCCGATAGTCACATCACAGGATGTCACCGCTTCTGCCCAGGCTTTAAAGCATTCACGCTTACGGCGCAAAGCCGCTTTGCAAGAACGCCTAAACCAAGGCTGGGACTTGCCACCGACCGGCACCGCAGAGAATGGAATAAAAAGTTCCATACCCTGCAGGACCACCTCGGCGACAGAGTCAGCGACGGCATCTGGAGTACTCGACGAAAAGCAAATGGGCCCCCAAGGGTAGGACGCAAAAAAAGACCGCATCCCATCCCAATCTGCTGACTTATAGTGCCACACGCGGCGACAGCCCGTGAACCTAGGCCGAAGAGGGCGCGTGAACGGCACAATGCTCCGGACCACACAATGATCTGATGAACCCAATGGCGGTTCAACAGAGACTTGGTAGTTCTCCGGATGTGAAGTCAGCAGAAGGTCCAACAAAGAGGGTTTATGACCATCCACATCTGGTATTCGCGTAATCGCAGGGACCATTTGCGTCAAGTCGTAAGCCAAAGCAAAGTCGTGAAAGGATCTTCCCGCATGATCGGTGGTTTCTGAGCCGAGCCAATCGGCATGGTGGGCGTTAAAATCGCCAAGTGTCACGATTTCAGCGGTAGGAACCCTTTCGAGCAGGGAATCTGTAGCCATTTGGATGTGCTCAATGAGTCGGTCAGTTTCGGTATTTCCGCTATGGGACCTATACAGGCATGCGTAGAATCGCGGATGGTCATCGCAGTCTACGCGCAGCCAGAGGTTAGATAGGTCCCTTCCTTCAAGCGTCCCGAGGCGACGAGAACAGATATCCTCTCTGACGTACACGCAAACTCCCGCCCGCGGCACAAATGAATGTTCCAATTTGTACCCCGGGTAGGAGAGGTAGGAAGTATCAGCCGGGGGGATATCTGAGTCTCGGTAAGAAAGAGCAAGGCCGGCTTCGCAGTCTCTAAGTGGTAGTGGACAGCGTTGATGTTGGAATGGAGCCCCCTAACATTTGTGAAGTCCACGGCGAGTGTGGACGGGGGTGCCTTAGTTGAATTGCTCCGTTTGCCCCGAGAACGATTAATGTTTTTTTACCGAGCGCAGAATTGCCCCCCCAGAATACAAAGGGCAGCCTGTGCGTCCACCACCGGGTGCTGAGTGTCCCGGTGTTGGACGCTCAGAGGGGGATTCTCCACCGCGTTCGCGTGTGGTACCCCCCTGGGGTAGATTCTGTTTGTTCTGCACCTTCATATTTCATATGGGGGGATGGGCTCCGGGAGTCTCCCTCACCGTACGAAACGCGAGTACAATAAGGCGAACCTATTGCCTCACTTCACGCCGGTTTTCTGAGAGACAGTGGTACTGCCCCGGTCGTGCCTGCCCATTTGGCTGAAGCCCGAAGGCAACAGCATGGCACTCCCACTAGGAAGGGGTTGACTGATTGCGCTGATGAAATAACCTCTGTCACAGGTTATTTCACCAGTGGGCGATGGGGTCGTCACGTCCCGACGCCAAAATTGCATATAGTAGATCATTTTTCGAAAAATAAGATCATAAAGAAGTTTCACTTCTTACGTGTGTACACCTAGTACACGCACAATTTTTTTTTTTTATAGAACGGGGGGCAAACGGGCAGGAGGCTCACCTGATGTGAAGTGATACCGCCGCCCATGGACACTCTCAATGCCAGAGGGCTCGCGAGTGCGTTGCCGGCCTTTTAACGTCGTTCTGTTGGACGAGTATCGCGAACAGAATAAACAGCGCGGGGCGCACTGTGGTTCGGCGGCAAGCGTTGAGATCTTGTGACATCATCGCTTGCATTCGCGCGGTCAGTAAACCTTGTTCGGTATTTTGCCCATAACTTTGTCAGTTTTGGTCGTAGAACAAAAATTTTTGCACTTTATGTTTTAGTTTCTCAAGGGCTATAAACTGCATTTATTACATAAAACCATTACGGGTCCCCATTATATTTTGCTAGCTTTAGAAGCATTCTTTTTAATTACCTACATTTTGATCACGCTCTGTGGTCGTGTCAATTATCATTGTTATTTCTCTGCTCCCAAGATGACAGACGCCAAGTAAACTTTACCTCTACCAAATATGTGTCCTGTGCATGTAACCATTAAACAACCTAAAACAACACAAACTAATTTGTGTTTACTTTTTTAGTGTTAATTATAACAATATCATTTTAGGATAAGTAGTCGTAAACAGCAATTAACGATATAAAGAGCTCTTAAATAGTAATTATTATAATAAATTTTCCAAGGTAAGCTACTAGAGTGTTAATTTTAATTTGACTACTTCTATAATGATGTTATTTGAAAGTTTAATACCTATTATATTTTTACCTTATGTCTACAAACTAATTTTAGAAAATGGCTGGTCAAGGACATCAATTCCCTGGGAATTTCCAAGGAAATCCTGCTATGCGGTCAGGATATGGGGCGAGCCCAATGCCGGGTCAGATGCAGACAATGCCCAACCAGTTAGCAGGTATATAAATACCCAAAAATAATTAATACATTTAAAAAAACCGCGTAAAATTTATTCCCAAAAAAATATGTCTTAAATTTTCTATAGTTCATGCTATTTTTTTTGTATTTAGTTTAGTAGAATTTGTTTGAGTTATTTTTTGATAACATGGAAGGTTATGCTTCCGTATTATATAAGTGGTTAGTTATAGTACTAAAGTTATTTTCATAAACTAGGTGTAATGGGTGGTCCCATGGGTGCAGCTGGTATGGTAGGCATGGGCAACCAAATGGTCCCCCCTGGATATGGAGCTCCAATGCAGAATCAAATGGCTAATATGGGAATGGCAGCTCAGGTATGATTTTAGCTGGCTTAATGATTACTTTAATTGCTGTTAAAACATTTACCAGCTTAGATGGCATATTTATTTTATACAATACACTTAAAAATCCTACTAAATAGTTTTTGCAAAGCTGAGATAATATTTAGGTATATATGGCATGCAATAAGAGTTTTGTCTATTCCGCTTGCATTATTCAGTAGCATATTCATAATTTATTTATAGTGTATTTTAACCATCATCATACATAAAGAAAACTAATGTTTAGCTAGAAGTTATTTCCTTATATAATATAAATACTTAAAGTATTTATCATATACAGTATTTAATATATGATAAATACTGTCTCTTTCTCTTTATAATGATTTTTGATAAACTTGGTGTAGATAACATGTCAATAAAGAAAGAATTCATTGTCTTAATTACAGGGCCTGGTAGGTGTACCTGGGCCACCAGGAATGGGTCCACAAGGAGTTCAACCAACAGGTATCTATGGTTTAGATCTTTTATAATCATACCTTTGTGGTCATATTTATTAAAGCTCTTTTTAACCACATGTTGTCGGCACTGATTATTTGTCTACAGTTTGCAATACTAAATCTTTATGAATCTAATATAATGCATGGGTTCACAGTTGCGATTTAAACAACTATAGTGCTCCAATGTTTATAAATATGTGAACTATAAGTTCCAGGTGCAATGCAACCAGGCACTGTGCAGACCCCAACAGCCCCTGGCCCTCCACCAGCTCCAAGCCAACCCCCACAAAGCAAAGACTTCAATATGGCGTCTTTATGCAAGTAAGTCAAAGGAAACTTTATTCATGTTTGAAAAGTGAACTTCACTTCTCAAGCAGTATGCTTCAAGCTTATTTCTCACAGCATGTTACATTCTGTGGGGTGTTTAAACAATATTAAATTTTATCATATTAGAAACAAAATTTACGCTTGTGAATCTCGAATGTAAAATGTTTCACATAACATTTTAGAGCATTAATTTAATATCAAAGTGAAGCTCTGTTTAAATAATTAATGTCACCAATGAACAAATTCAAGTCAACTACTACAATTAGTACCCATTCTTGGCTATGAAAGATGACCAGCCATATACAACTCACTCACCTATTGTAGGGAGGACTTGCCTGCATGGCCGCCCCCACAAGCAATGATATTTAAGTTAAGTTGATGTGATGAAACAAAATATTATAGGTACTAGTTATAGAACGTAAGAATAATACTTTAGAATAGATTGACAGTGTTACTGGCCTCTACAACAAAGTATAAGCATAAACATAAAATCTACAATCTGGCGTTTCAGGTTTGGACAGGAGACGGTACAGGATATCGTATCTCGGACACAGGAGATGTTTCAAACGCTGAAGGCCGCGGCGCCGCCATCTGGCACAGCCCTTGGCGAGAGTGCGTCCCACGACAAGCGCGCCAAGATGCAGGAGCAGCTCCGAACTATTCGACTGCTGTTCAAACGATTGCGCCTCATCTACGACAAATGCAGTGAAACGTGCCAAGGAATGGAGTACACGCACATGGAGAGCCTCGTGCCGCTGAAGGATGCACCTGACCATAAAGCCCTGGACGAGCGGAGGCACTCCGACGCCTACCGTGCCGCCCTCGACCAGAATAGAGAGCTGGTGGAGCAAGTGGTACTCAAAAACAAGCAGCTCAAAGAAGTCATCACTAGCCTTCGTACCATTATCTGGGAGATCAATGTGATGCTCACGATGCGCAGGTCCTAAACCTTATGTTAGTCTGTGATTTAGTGATAAATGTACATTCTGTAAATAGGTTAATACAAGTGTAAGGGAAGTTCTGTGTTGACTTTTTGGTGCTGTTATAAATGCTAAAACTCGTACAAAAGGTTTTAAGATAAACAGTGACAGTACGGGATGAAGTAATACGAAAGTTTTGTTACCCAAAGTGAAGCATACCATTATTATACATAATTATAACAGTTGTAAATAAATTTCTTATAATTAATATTATGTATTTTTCTATTAGTCAGATAAATAATCTAATGTTATATTATTTGTACCTAACTGTTTGGCATTTCTATCTTGATACGAATGTAATGGCAAAATATTACTTTCAAGACTTCTAGTTAAGAAGTTTTAGTCATTACAATCACAAGCATCAATTGTGTACCAAATTTTATATGATTTGATACATTGCCTTCTAAGGTTTATCAGTTTCGGTTGCGCTTGCCTTAAGTTTAGCGCTGATTTTGTATATTCTAAATTGTTACAGATATTATCCTTCTTATTAAAGGGTTCATCAAATGGGAAATGAAGTATTCATAAAAATAAATAATGTTTATTCTTGAATCATATTAAATAAAAAATGGCAAGCTAAGCGTTTCGCCATGCGAACTAACCTATAAAACTTAAGTACAAAATTAAAATCATTGTTCGACCGATTTAGGAATATCGAAAGACGCCTTTTTCTTTTTCTCATACAGTTTCTTCTCGTAAGGGCGGGTGTCGATAACAGTTGGAATATCTGCGTCGTCTGTGGCAGCTTCGACGGTGCGATGGGCGCTGCGTCCCGCAGGGAGGGCGTGGAAGGCCTCTGCTAGTTCAGGGTTGATTTCTTCAAGTGGTGTGTCCCCATTCTGAATATATACAGGAACGAAGCCCGGTACAGCTGGCAGGTATTGCCAACGCGGCCGCGCCTCTGCGGAAAAACAAAAGGTGAATTAATCTGACAGGTTACACAATGTACTGCGTTTTCATTTCGAGGCACATTTAGGTCAACGATTGAAGTTTACTAAAATTGTACGAGTATAGCTCAATTATTTAAGTATGCGTAATAAAACTCTGACTGAAAAAAAAATGGACTAAGGATGTAATAGAGTGGTATCCGAGAAACGGAAAAAGAAAACGAGGAGGTCAAGTTAAAAGATGGGAGGACGATCTGCCAAAAGGATGGAGAAGGTCTGCCAAGGATAGAGAGATGTGGAAACGATTGGGGGAGGCCTATGTCGACAGACAACCTGACCAAAGTGGTTGCTAATAAATAATTATTATTTCGCTATGTAAATTAGATTTAAGAATGCTACTGTTAAATAAGAATAGCATGTAAGTTAAAATGGTCAGTGAATAAAGGGCTTTTATTATTATTAATAATAAAACTCTGATGCCTCAAACATGCTTATAATCGTTGCAATAACTATTATTATATATTATATAGCAAAATTACAAAAGTAATGAAAAGATAAAAGAAATAGGTTAAGCTGTTAATAAGAGGGGCTATTTATATATTTTCTAGTCTAACAGTTATGAACTATTGACACACACACACATTGATCGTTTGAGTACTCAGTAGTGTATTAACATTTAACCTTAGTATGACGTGAATCGTAATACAGAGCTAAAGCGTTATCACGCCATCAATTGGGTGGTATCATGAATGTATGCAAGCGGTAAGTAACGCAGGAGTCTACTGCATCGTAAATCTGTTAATAGATATATAGGAACCGCTTACCTTGTTAGTGCAGGTCATTCAACTTGCTAATGTTTATAATCAGGATAAGGTTAATTTATATAGATAACATTTTTATATATCGTAAATATTTCTTTTTCCAAATTATTAAAGTAAAGTAATGTAGTATTCTAAAATATATGACAATTATGGTGAATATAAATTAAAAAAAATATACTTTACTAACTTTTTACTACTAATTGTTTGCTTAACAATGGGGGGGTATAGGTACCAGATAGGCACTTATCAAGGCTTTTATTTAAATTGATCAGCCCGCTACCAAATATATCAAGCTCTGGATAAGTAGTATTTATCCTATTATATTCGAGAAGAATTGGAATAAGTTTTGGTAAATATTTCAGTAATTTAAATAATAATAGTACATATTTCACTTCATTATATTTCGTTTTAAATATAGCATTATCTGAAACGAATCCATTGATCGACTCTAGCTACCTCTAATAAATAAGGATATAGGTGTTTTTCGTGAAATTTTAAATATACAATTGGTGCACCGCTCAGGCCGCAGATCATTGACCGAAACGTTCGATTTACATCTCGAGAGTTCCACTTATCACCTGTCTATCATTGACCAACGAACACCCCAAACATTGTCTTATAATATATTTCAAGTTGCATGCTATTTTGACTCTTCGACAAATGGCGTTTATGCCTATTTCTACGTGACCACCGACTGAAGCTCACAGCGCACATTCCGTTTTCTGTACACTGTTAAATAAAGCTTAATTTACGAAGCGAGTGCAAGACTTTCGCCTAACGGTCCGACATAAGTTTTTGCCCCTCAAATACTAACTGTAATCATCTTATTACACAAAGGTACAGTTGAAGATTATTTATTCAATAGGTAAAGCAAAAATATGTCAGCCCTAGAAAGCTGGACTGTTATTTGTGTTAATATGTGAAGTCGTTGTTTTTTTCGTTCATTAGACAAAAGTTTCCATGAAACTTATTAAATTAACTTTCTAGCTATCTTGGAACTGGTTGAGAACGAGTAACCTACTTTTTTTGAGTCGGAAAAGAATGTAGAGCATCTTATGTTACAGTTTAGATCGTGTCTGTCCACATGTATATATATATATAACATTTACGTACTAAAGTCTCATTGCCCATACTAAAATGTTTATATTTTGCACTTGTGGATTCCATAATAGGTTACGCTCTTGACAGCTATGGGTTAGCATTTAAAACATACATTGATAAAGTAGAAACAAGATTTTTAAAATTACTAGTAAATAAAATGGTAGGGGAGCCCAAGAGGGGATTTCGGGATTTACTAAAGCGCGGCAGATTACTATATAGGGGGATACCTTGTACCCGGTTAAGTACCTCCACAAAATATGAGGCCCATATATAAGGCCGCGCGTGAAGGAGACAGGATCAGATTAGTAAAAAAAAATTGACCATCAGAAATTCCCGAGCGCGTCAGATTAAGGTAGGGTGAGTTAATTACATCCTAAAAAGTGTATATTCCACTAATCTGACAATTTGAGAGTGACGGAAAAAAAGGGGAGGGCAACAAAGTTGTAAAAAAAAACGTCATCTCGACATTCTCGAGCGTAGCTAATTTTTCTTTTATTTTGAAGGAAATAATTCCAGAATAATGAAAAATATATAATCTGACGATTTCCGCAAGCCGAAATAACAAAAATTCGTCGATAAAGTTAAATGCGTGCAGCTGCGTGATGCCTACATTTCCTTAAACCGATCGGAATCTACTAAACGGCGTTCAAAATATTTCCCTCAAAATTACATTTCCTGTGAATTTGAACCGATTCGGACCGATAGATTTTGAGAAATTTTGAAAAATCTTAAAAAAATAAGAAATATTTTTTTTTAAGTGGTTTCTTTATCGATCAACTTCAAAAACTAATCCGCCTTTGAGCTTGAAAAACCACGTCGATCGCCACCAAGCTGGTCAAAAGTGGTTGATTCGTTCGAGAGATATCGTACATGAAAGAAACCCGAAAAAGTGTTTTTTCGGGATTACTCCGAAATTTGTGGTTCGATCAATTAAAATTGCAAAATTACTTATGAGAATGATAAAACTGCGTCGAATGCCGCCAACCGCGTGAAAATTGCTTGATCCATTCAAAAGTTATTGCGGTTTGAAAATTCCAAAAATAGTGTTCTATGAAACTTCTATCAGACTTTCGAGCTGGGAGAGCTCAAATGCATAGAAATGTTATTTCTTTGAACTCAGCGAGCTCAAAATATCAATTTTAAGCGCCCAGGAATGGAATTAGCGGGAAGTTGCAGGGATGGCCCTTTAGGTGAACCGTTTTTCTATTTTTTTTTGTCAGATCAGGCGAATCCCTCTAGATAATCGTCAGATTATGAGACAGTACGTTTAGAACATAAAGATGAACCACATATATCTTAATCTGACGCGCTTGAGTATTTCAAAATTGCGATTTTTTTGCAAATTAAGAAAATGGCTGTGGGTTTGCGTCCCATCGAAATCGTCAGATTAGTGAATGAGAGATTTTTTTTGGTGCACTTAACACTCCCTTAGAAAATCTGACGCGCTCGATAAATTTTTTTTTTTTTAATTTTCAACCCTTAAATACAACCACCCGCATCATGCAAACGATCAGATTAACATACGTACATTATTAAAAATACGTAGGGCATAGATGCTATCAATATCTGACGCGCTCGAGGATGTCCATGCAACAGTTTTTTTTTACATATTTAACTATCTATAGCCGCTTCCCCCACCGATGAAAAGGAATTTATCATATAACATTTTTTTCTTCTTTTTATCTAAGCTTTGTATCCCAATAGGTCTCTACGACGCTCGAGTAAATCCCCATTTAGCATCGTGGGCTCCCCTACCAAAAAGACAAGGAATCAATGTAAAGGAGATTATTGTAAACTATTTAAAATATGTAAAACTTTACCGGCTAGCCTGAAACATAGATTCCCTGTACTTGTAAATAACCATAGTAAGCAGGATCGTTTTACTATTTTTGCATCATATAACTGACACAAGGTCAATGTCCAGAGGTAAATTTGAAATACCCATAGTGCAAATTTATTATGGAGATAGAACTTTTTGTTTTTTTTTTTTATAGAACGGGGGGCAAACGGGCAGGAGGCTCACCTGATGTTAAGTGATACCGCCGCCCATGGACACTCTCAATGCCAGAGGGCTCGCGAGTGCGTTGCCGGCCTTTTAAAAATTGGTACGCTCTTTTCTTGAAGGACCCTAAGTCGAATTGGTTCGGGAATACTTCAGTGGGCAGCTGGTTCCACATAGTGGTGGTGCGCGGCAAAAACTGCCTTGAGAAACGCTCAGTTGTGGAACGTCGGACGTCGAGGTGATACGGGTGGAATTTCGTATTCTGCCTCGACGTCCGATGATGAAACTCAGCTGCAGGTATTAATCCGAACAACTCCTCTGAACACTCTCCATGGTAAATGCGGTAGAAGATGCAGAGTGACCCCACATCTCTACGCAACGCCAAAGGATCAAGCCGCTCGGAGAGGGATTGGTCGTCAACGATTCGAACCGCTCTGCGTTGTATACGGTCAAGTGGAAGGAGCTGGTACTGGGGAGCCCCCGCCCAGAGGTGAGAGCAGTACTCCATGTGGGGCCGAATTTGCGCTTTATAGTTGCATGCGGTGGCCCGGAGTGAAGTACCGTCTCGCCTTACTGAGCACACCAAGCTTTTTGGAGGCTAATTTAGCCTTTCCTCCAAGTGACCGCGAAACTGAACGTCGCTCGATATGTCAACGCCAAGTATTCCAATGCTGGCTGTGGCTTTAAGAAGAGTGTTTTCGAAAAGAGGAGTAGCGACAAAGGGTGTTTTTTTAGCGGAAAACGCGCAAACTTGTGTCTTCTTGGGGTTAAATTGGACTAGGTTTTGTCTGCCCCAATCTGAGACTCCACGAAGTAGAGTTTCAACTTCAGACACAAGTTTGTTCCGGTACTCATCAACAACTGCCCGAGAAATACCTGCCCGGCCAGTGTAAAAAGTATCCCCAGTACTGTCATCCGCATAGCAATGAATGTTGCTAAGTTTCAACATATCATTGATATGCAGAAGAAATAGGGTCGGGGATAGAACACAGCCTTGTGGGACCCCAGCGTTTACGGGTTTTAGGTCGGAACATGCTCCGTCGATGACGACCTTGATGCTCCGATCGGCCAGAAAGCTGGAGATCCAATTGCGTAATTTCTCGGGAAGCCCATAGGCTGGAAGCTTCGAGAGCAGTGCTCTGTGCCACACCCGATCGAAGGCTTTCGCTATGTCCCAACTAACCGCTAGCGCCTCCCCTTGGACTCAATTGCCTCTGCCCATCTATGTGTAAGGTATACAAGAAGGTCACCAGCCGAACGACCACGATGAAAGCCGTACTGATAATCGCTAATCAGCTGGTGGCCCTCTAGATACCTCAAGAGCTGGCAATTAACAATGGATTCCATTATTTTGGAGAACAAGGAGGTTATAGCTATTGGGCGATAGTTGGACGGATCAGAGCGATCGCCTTTTTTAGGGATCGGATGTATCAAAGCGGTCTTCCAGCACTTCGGGACAGTGCCGAGCGAGTACAGGTACCGGAAAAGGCGCGTTAAGACCGGAGCCAACTCAGGAGCACAAGTACGCAGCACAATTGGGGGGATACCATCCGGCCCGCTCGACTTATGAATGTCCAAGGAAGATAGTGCTTTGCGGACAGCACGTTGCCGGAATGTGATTTCCGGCATCGAAGAATCACACCGCGAAATGGTCGGTGGTGATCTCCCTCGGTCATCCAAAGTCGAGTTAGACGCGAAGAGACAGCCCAAAAGGTCAGCCTTCTCCTTCGCAGTGTGGGCCAGAGAGTCATCCTCCCTGTGCAGTGGCGGAATGGCGGGCTGACAAAAATTCCCTTGGACAGCTTTGGCGAGAGACCAGAAGGCTCGAGTCCCTGATGGGAGTTGGGCCAATCTCTCGCCAAATCTGGCAATGTGCTCTGACTTTGCCTTAGTGATTTCCCGTTTGAAGGACCTGGAGGCTGAGTTATATGCTTTTTTAAGTTCGCTGGTATTGGCATCACGAGATTTCGCCGCTTCCGCCCATGCCTTAAAGCATTCTCGCTTTCGACGCGAGGCCGCCTTGCAAGAACGTTTAAACCAGGGCTGAGACTTGCCACCGATCGGCACCGCAGAAAATGGAATAAAGAGTTCCATGCCCTGCAGAACCACTTCGGCGACAGAGGCGGCGACGGAATCTGGAGCTTCCGGCGAAAAGCACATAGGCCCCCAAGGGTAGGACGCAAAGAAAGACCGCATCCCGTCCCAATCTGCTGACTTATAGTGCCAAATACGGCGACAACCCATAAAGCGGGGCCGTGAAGGGCGCGTAGATGGCACAGTACTCCGGACCACACAATGATCTGATGAACCCAATGGCGGGTCAACAGAGACTTGATAGTTCTCAGGATGAGAAGTCAGCAGAAGGTCCAACAAAGAGGGTTTATGACCATCCACATCTGGTATTCGCGTAATCGCAGGGACCATTTGTGTCAGGTCGTAGGCTAAAGCAAAGTCGTGAAAGGATCTTCCCGCGTGATCGGTGGTTTCAGAGCCGAGCCAATCGGCATGGTGGGCGTTAAAATCGCCAAGTATCACGATTTCAGCGGTAGGAACCCTTTCGAGCAGGGAATCTGTAGCCATTTGGATGTGCTCAATGAGTCGGTCAGTTTCGGTATTTCCGCTATGGGACCTATACAGGCATGCGTAGAATCGCGGATGGTCATCGCAGTCTACGCGCAGCCAGAGGTTAGATAGGTCCCTTCCTTCAAGCGTCCCGAGGCGACGAGAACAGATATCCTCTCTGACGTACACGCAAACTCCAGCCCGCGGCACAAATGAATGTTCCAATTTGTACCCCGGGTAGGATAGGTGGGAAGTATCAGCCGGGGAGGATATCTGAGTCTCGGTAAGAAAGAGCAAGGCCGGCTTCGCAGTCTCTAGATGATAGTGGACAGCGTTGATGTTAGAATTAAGCCCCCGTAACATTTGTGAAGTCCACGGCGAGTGTGG